TCAGACCCAGAGGGATATGCAGTGGACACTTCCTAGCCCAGACAGGAAAGAGATGGGACCATGAGGTCCAGAAAAGACCAGAAGTGAAGGTTTTTTGGATCTGGAGAGAAAGCAGAGGAAGGCTTCTGAGTATTAAAAAAAGGGGGGGGGGGCAGGAAGTCATGGTCCCCAAATCCAAAAGAAGAGAAGGAAGAGGCAGAGAAGACCCCACACCCCAGTGGGGAAGAAAATGAGGGTCTTGGGCCAAGAGGAAACCGGAAATCCAGCAGATGAAGAAAAAGGATGTGAAAATTGCCCAAAAAAATGAAGATTTCTGGACAGAGAAATGACAGGCCACGTGGGGACTAAAAAACAGGAAGATGAACCAGAAAGAGATGAAGAGGAGGTCCTCATAGTACAAGAGGGGAAAGGGAGGACACCAGGAGGAGGAGAGGAAAGGAGAGGGAGAAGGAAGACAGCAGTAGCCAGAGGAGAGGCCCGACACCCTATCCTTCTTGCCTGTCCTGAGCTAAATCTCTATCCCCTTCTCTCTACAAATCTCTTCCTCTCCCAGGACCTCTATCCACCCAACTTGCTGGGCCACTAACCCCCGCCCCCCCAACCTGGAATCTCTATTTCTTCATTCTGTCTACATCTCCATGTGACTCTGTACCCATCTCTGGTTCTCTGCTACCCACTCTGGGCCTCTCTGTCCCCCTTTCTCTGTATTTCTACTGACCTCTCCTCTGGATCTCTGTCCCCTTCTCTCTAGGCCTCTGTATCCCTCTCTCTGTCCCCCACTCTCAGGGTCTCTGCCCTCTCTCTCTGGGTGTCTGCCTCATTCCGTACCTTGAGCTTGGACTGGATTTCCCTTGATTTCCTTCGAGCCAGAACTTGGATGTGACTAGAGACCTGGGGAGAGTGACAGAGAAGCAGACGCAGGACACAGCCATTGGCCCCTTGAATCCCCTCTGCCTTCCCACCCTCCAGATGGCCCCCAGAGCTCCCAGAACATGAACGATGACGAACACACAGAACAAGCCAGCTATCTCAGGCACATGCTAACACAGGCGTGTCCACAGAGGCTAGTCTCTTCTAGCCACTTACACAACTGATCTCCCCCAGACCCAGCAAATCCAGGCCTCCTTTCCCTTCGTCATCTTCTCTCTTTGGATCTTTCAGTCTCTCTACCTTAGTCCCTGTTGCTAACACAGCTGCTAAGAGATCCAGACCAAAACAGGCACAGCAGAGCACACTCACAGAGGCGCCAACAAGACAGACAAAAACACATGAACCAGATCCTCCTTGAACCTGAACCTGCCCATCATAGGATGCCCACCCACCCCCATCCCCCCGAGAAGACAAGCCCACCCCAGAGAGAGGCCCACAAGTCAGTCCGGACACCTGTTTGCGAGTTCGGGTCTTCCCTGTTCTCAGCTTGATGTAACGGGCAATCAGCTCATTCCGACCTGAAGAGTCAAAGACGGGACAGAGTTAGACTTTCACGGGACTTCTCAACACACACAACACCAGGGAAGGAGCGAGAAGCAGCAGTTGCCAGAGGTCTGCAAGCAAGCTGGCCTGCAGATCATCCCAGCTCTGTGGGAGAGTTCCTGCCGCAGTCTTTGGAGCCGGGCTGCCAGGTTCAAATCCCAGCTCCACCACTTCTGTGACCTCAGGCAAACCACTTTACCCTTCTGTGCCTCAGTTTCCTCATCTGTGCCAACAGCGATACCAGCTGCTACCTGAGTCTTAATCAGCCGGGGCCAGGGCAAAAGAGAGGGGCGGACTCACCATACATCTTGCCTTCATCAGACAGGATGATTTTCCGCCGGCCACATGGTGGGTAGATGGCCAGGGCCTCCTGGAAGCTCTGCTCGATGTCCGGACTCCATACTCCTTCCGCGTCCGGGCCCCCATCACCCCCAGCCCCCTCGCTGCCGCCGGTGCCCTCCTCACTTCCTTCCTCACTTCCTGTCCAGCCACTGCCATCGTCCAGGGGGGCCCCAGCCCGGGGTTCCCCCATCTGGGCCTGGAGGAACACAGAGCTCAGCAAGGTGCCTCCCCCCACCCCGCCCTCGCCCCCCACCCCCACCCACAGAGAGACTGCAGGGCAGTGAGGGCTGGGAGTTCAGATTGCTGGGTCTGAGGGAGGAGAGGGTGAGGGGGCCTGGATTTCTGGGTCTGAGGGAAGCAGGAGGCTGAGGGTCGGAACTCCTAAGTCCTGCAGAAGGGGGCTCGATTTCTGGGACAGCTGAGGGTGAGAGCGTCCTCTGTGTTTCCAGGGGAGCCTGGGGTGTGGTGAAGTCCTGAAGACCCCGGAGTAATGCCTGGGGCGCATGGCACATGAGGGCCGAAGCTTCGGGTATGGATTACTGGTTTGAAAGAAGACAGGAGTCGGGGCCTAGTTGCAGGGAAGGGAGTTGTGGATGAGATCTTCTCAGTCCCACCCCAAGAACAGGTGCTAGGATGTGAACAGCAGCTGCGAGAAAAGAAGGAGGAGGGGCCCCAGCCGTAGTAAGACTGAGGGGGAGGGGGCGTCCAGAGAGAGAGGGACAGAGACCCAGAGTTCACGAGACAGACTTCCAGAGAGGGGGAGACAGAGATCCAGTGTCGGGGGACAGACACCCAGAGAGGGAAGGCAGAGAGACCCAGAGAAAGAAGGGGCCAGAGGGCCAGAGAGAAGGGGACAAAGAGCCAGAGAGAGGAGGGACAGAGACTCAGGGCAGAAACTCAAGCCCAGACCAGGAAAGACCCACAGAACCACAAACTGGGGGGCAAGGGCGCCCTGCCATCAGGAGAGCCAGAACAAAGGGCCCAGGCGTCCCCTCCCCCAGTTTCCCACAACCCCCATCTGGGGAGGGGCTGGCCGGCAAGGGCGCCTCCCCTCTGGCCCTCGGCCCCGCCCCTTCCCTCCCCTCCCCCTGCGCCGTGGGCTCGGATCCAACTCAAGTTCCCAGTGACTTTCCGGAGGCCAGGAACAGGGGAAAACTTTTTCCAATACAGTCAGATCCCGCCTCCCAGGCGGCTCCACGTCTTCCACAGCTTTCCCAGGACCCCAGAGTCCAGGCTCCCATCCCCCTTCTCTCTCGGACCCTGGAGCCCAGGCCGAGACAGACAAAGACCCCAGGCCGAGTCCGGTGGCGCTGAGGCGTTCAGGCCCCCCCCCCCCCCCGTAGGCCTAAATCCCAGCCCAGCTCTCCCCCATGTGGCCAGACAAAGGGACGGAGGAGCCGGGTAAGAAAGATCCCCACTAATTTCCCGCCCCAGGCCCCAAACTTCCGAAGAGGCAAGACTGAAGGTCCAGAAAGCACTGTAGCTCGGCCCTATGCCACCCCGGAGGCCTCCTTTCTCCATTAGGAGGATCAGGCGTCCACAAATGACACACAGAAACCCAACTCGGTCAGAAACACGCACGGGGTCCTTTCTCACTTCATACCCACACCGCCGCATACACTCGCACCCACCGGACACAGCCGCCAAAGTCCCCAGCCTTCACCCACTCCCGAGCGCACAATCCCAAACTCAGACCCAGCAACAGACACCCCAACTCCGGCGAAAGTTCCAACACCTCACTAAGACTCGGTCCCAAGCGCAAACTCCGACCCGCGGGCAAAAAGAGGGGCCAAGCAATTCACAGACCCTCCCGCAAACACCTCATCTCATAACTCGTAGCTTCCCACCCCAACTCACACACCCCAAAGCTGGATCCCCGACTCCCGCCGGCGCCTTCCTACCTCCCGGCCTGGGGCTGGGGAGCCGCGGGCGGGCGGGGCTCTGCGAGGGAGAAAGTTGCCCGGGAGCTTTGTTTGGGAAAAGTGGGAGGGACCGGAGGGGGGGGCGGGCCCGGGCGCCGGACACAGGGAAGGGGGATCCGAGGGTGACAGTTTGGAGGAGGATTTTTGCTTTGGCAAAGGTGGAGTCTAGCTTGGGCATGGTAAGAACTTCGGAATTCGAATGCTTGCGTCCCTGGAGCGGAGAGGGATGGGGGATCCGGACTCCCGGATTCCAGGGAGGAGGCTGATGGGGGCCAAGAAACGTGGGTCTGAAGGAGCAAGGGTATGGGAGCCTGGACTTTTGACTGCTCTCTAGTGTGTTTGTATGTTGGGGATGTGAGAGTGATAAGAACACAAAAGATCTTTTCTGTTCAGCCTCAAATATAGTTTTGAGGATTAAGGTATGTGAGGGTGGGTTTCCTGTGACTTTGCCAGAGTTGAGAGGCGGGCGAGAGGACCAGGAGTTTATTGGAGAGCCACGGGAGAGCAGACTCTTGCAAACAAACAGACGCGCCAGTGGACTGGGGTGGCAGCTGTCCCAAGACCAGGAGAGACTGTCGAAGCCCGAGCGGAGAAGAGCTAGGGCCCCGACTCCTGGGTCCCTTAAAGAGGGGGTGTTGGATGTTCAAACTCAGGGAAATAGAGGGGCCTGGGGTCCGGACTCTGGGACCCTAAGGCGAAGGGAGCCTAGATTCCGGGCTCCTTGGAAGGTGGAACACAGGGCTAGATTTAAGTTTCCGAGGGTGGGCTTTTTAGTGGAACGGAAGAGGGCTCCCATTTAGCGTCCCGACATGGCACTCTGTTGAATGCAGAAATCGTTTCAAATCCCAAAGACGAGAAACTCAGAGGAAAATACAAATCGAGGGTAGATGAACCACAGGGTTCGGACTCGGGTACTGGGAGCCTAAGAATGGAACAGAGGGGTCTGGCTGCGAGACCTGGGGCACAGAGGACTGGCCCACGTGTGGGGGCACGGTTCTAAATCAAAGGGCATGGCCATCTGAACTGGAGTGGGGCTCGAGGGCCAAGATCCTAGAATACAGGCCACACTAAGTCTTCAGGGCCGAGGTCAACCGGCAGGGGCGTGGTCTGGCGATGGGTGTGGTTAACGGTTGGGGGCGTGGTCGTAGGGCGCGACCACCCAATAGAGGGCCCGGATCTTGGGTGAGGTCAGCAGATGGGGCGTGGTCAGGTAATAGGGGCGAGGCTAAGGCTCGCGGAGCTCACCCAACGCTCCAGGTATCCCGCCTGGGCTCGAGACCAGAGCTGTTTGGAGTTTAACAGTCCGTGGACCGACGGCCGGAGTCTGAGTCCGGTGACCGGACTGTGGTCTAACATAAGGCGGGACCCAGGAGAAGGGGCGGGGCGTGGGAGAAGGTGAGGAATGAGATTTGGGTATGAATGTGGGCGAAGAAGAGGAATGAGATCTGTTTGTGAGGCAGCGCCCTGAGGAGCAGAGCCTGGGTGGAGGGGCGGGGCCTGACGCGATGGAGGAGGTGGGGGGCAGAAGGACGGAAGAGGGGCTGTGGGCGGGGTGTGAGGAATTGCGGGGGCCAAGGATGATGGGAAAGCGATGCTTGTCTTGGGGCGTGACCATTTAGGGGCGGGGACTCTGACCCCCTACCGGTGCCACAGCCTCCCGGCCCGCCCCGCAATGTGGCAACCTCTGATCCTGCTGCTGCTGGTCCCCTCTGCCCTGGTGCCCCCCTCCACTGCAGCCCCGATCCGCGATGCTGATGCCCAGGAGAGCTCCTCAGGTTTTCTAGGCCTCCAGAGCCTAATCCAAGGCTTCACCCGGCTGTTCCTGAAAGTGAGCAATGAATGGCAAGGGTTGGGGGTAAGAAGAGGTAAAGAGGAGAGGTACGGGCGCAGATGGGGACTGAGGGATGGAAGTGGTCCGGAGAGACAGAATGGAAGATGGGTTGAGTCCAGGCAGAAGGACAGGCGGCAAGAGAAGGAGTCAAAGGGACCAAGAGAGATCAACAGAGAGTGACAGGCAGACCGAGGGATAGGAAAAGAGGGAGGAAATTAAGCAGAGAGGGAGATGGGACAGAGACAAAGACTGATGGAGAGAGAGACTTGGAAGGAGAAGGGGATGGGGCCACAGAGACAGTGGGATGAGGGGAGGAGGGAGCAAAAATAGGAAGGTAATGAGACAGAGCCAGGACAGGTAGGGGATGGGGCAGAAGGTGACCTAGTTAGGCCCTAAGGGTCAGAGGACAGAGAGAGAAGGAGCTGGGTGGTATGTGGGGCAAGGTCTCAAGGACATCCTGGTAGGGCTGCAGCTTTACTGGGGAGTCTTGAGGCCCAGCAGATCAATGGTCCCTCCTCTGGCCCAAGGATGACTTGTTGCGGGGCATGGACAGCTTCTTCTCTGCCCCCATGGACTTCCGGGGCCTCCCCAGGAACTACCACCAAGAAGAGAACCAGGAGCACCGGCTGGGGAACAACACGCTCTCTAGCCACCTCCAGATTGACAAGGTGCCTGTGCCAGGAAGTCCCTCCTGGAGTCTCCCCACAATCCCTCACGCTGCAGTATCAGTGGGGAGGAGGGCAGAGGAAGGAAGCAGTTTTGCTCTCACTCTCTCCTCCTGTCCTCACAGGTGACAGACAACAAGACAGGAGAGGTGCTGATCTCCGAGCAGGTGGTGGCATCCATTGAGCCAGGAGAGGGGAGTTTGGAGGGTGACTGGAAGGTTAGGACATGCCCCTGACAAAAATGTCCAAGCCCAAACATTTTCTGCAGTTTAGGAGAAGATGACACTCCCATTCCAACTGGTCAGCACCTTCTCTCCCTGAGCCTCAGTTTTATCATCTGTCAAAGGGACCAACGAGCTCTCAGAAATGAGGTTTACAACCTCAGTATATTTCCCACTCACTTCGTAAACCCCAGTGTGTTTTTATCTCAAAGTACTCTGCAAACCTCCAAGTATTTTTTAATCTGTCCCAAAGGGCTAGGCAGATCTCTCTCTCGTAAACTTCAAAATGTGATCTTTCATTCCAGAGTGTTTGATGAACCCCAAATGCTTTGCGTTGCTCACCTTTATAAACTTCTTAAGGGAGATTCTAGCCACAAAGTGCTTATTTTCTTATCCTAAAATGTTTTAAGAACCCCCAAGCACTTGGCAAACCCATAAGGGTCTTCTACACCCCCCTCCAGGTTTTTATTTTTAAATTTTTGAATCAACAGAAGAGTTGAAAAAAGACATAATGCTGTAAACCTGTATTCCCTTTTCCACAGAGCAAGGTTTCTTAACCTTGGCACCATTGGCATTTGGGGCTGGATAATCTTTGGTTGTAGGAGCTGTCCTATGCCCAGCAGGATGTTTATAAGCAACACTACCTCTAGCCACCAGATGGAAGTCGCGCCCCCTCCCCCACCAGTTGTGACAACCAAACCATCTAGATACACTGGCCTAGATACACCACTTGTGAACATTTTACCACATTTACTTTATCTTTACTTTTTCACTTTTGAACTCTGTGACAGTAAATTACGGACATCAGGACACTCCACCCTTAAATCCTTCGGTGGGTATCTCCAAAGAATAATGCATTCTCCCGCACGACCATGGTAACATTTTTTTTTAAGATTGGCTGTGGGCCAGCAGCATTAGCTGCTGTGACAGACAGAGATCACAAGTAGGCAGAGAAGCAGGCAGAGAGAGAGGAAGGGAAGCAGGCTCCCTGCTGAGCAGAGAGTCCGATGCAGCGATCTCAGGACCCTGGGATCATGACCTGAGCTGAAGGCAGAGGCTTTAACCCACTGAGCCATCCAGGTGTCCCCCATGGTACCATTTTTACACCCAAGAAATTTAACATTGAATATCACACCATTACCTCTATTAGTTTGCTAGGGCTGCCTTAACAAAGTAGAACAGATTGGGCGGCTGAAACAACAGAAATGCTGCTTCCCAGTTCTGGAGGCATTCAAGGTATTCAAGGTCAAGGTGTCACGAGGGTTTGTTCTTTCTGAGGCTGTGATGAAGAATCCATTCCATGCCTCTCCACTAGCCTCTGGTGGTCTGCAGAAAATGTTTGACATTCCTTGAAATGCAGAAGCATTCCCCACACCCCCATCCCTGCCTTCATCTTTCATGGCCTTGTCTCAGTGTGCACCTCTGTGTCCAAATTTTGCCCTTGACATAAGGATACTGGTTGCATTAGATTTGGCTCATCCTAATGACCTTGTCCTAACGAAGTCTGCAGTGACCCTGTTTCCAAGTAAGATCACGTTCTGAGGTACTGGGAATTAGGAGTTCACCATACGAATGAGGGTGGGGGCGTGGAGACACAATTCAGCCCGTAACAATCTTCTACAGGACTTCTCAGAAAAATGCTGCCTCTGATTCAGTAGGTCTGGATGTCTAATTTGCTAATTTGTGTATTCTAACAAGCTCTCAAATGTTGCTGATGCTGCTGGCCCACAGCCAACACTTTGAGTAGCAAGGACCGAACAGACATTCAGTCCGTACTCAAATGTCCCAAAAGAAGGACCAAAAGCTGTCCCTAAGAGCTGATTTGGTTTTTGATCCGGGATTCGATCGAGGATCCCACGTTGCAATTGTAGTCATGCATTAGGAAAGCCAGGAGCTTTTAATCCCAAAGTGATTTGTACATTTCCAATTGCTTTCTAAACCTTAGAATATGTTTAATCCTAAAACGCTTTGAGACCTCGGAAATGTGCTTTCAATCCCAGAGTATTCTATAAATCTCGGTATTTTTTATTCTAACGCACTTGTAAACCCCGTGCTTTGTAAACCACAAAATGAGCTTTAAACTCCAAAACTGCCCTGTAGGCGGCAAATTGAGCAGAGTATGCCAGTGAGGAGGTAGCATCCTGGGATTGTCATTTGGAGTTTGAGACCTCTCTGTCCCTCCTCCCCAGGTACCCAAGATAGAGGAGAAGGAGGCCTTGGTGCCACTCCCAAAAGCCATCGACAGCTTCCACCCAGAACCCCATCCCCGAGTGGCCTTCTGGATCATGAAGCTGCCAAGGCGGAGGTCCCACCAGGATGTTCAGGAGGGCGCCCACTGGCTCAGCGAGAAGCGACACCGCTTGCAGGCCATCCGGGATGGGCTCCGAGAGGGGACCCACGAGGACAGCCTCGAAGAGGGGACCCAGGGCTCCTCCCACTCAAGGCTGCCTGCCCGGAAGACCCACTTCCTGTACATCCTCAGGCCCTCCCAGCAGCTATAGGGGTGGGAACTGGGGAACACCCGCATGTACCCCCCACCAGACCCCATCCCAGGCACCATATAGAAATAAAGTTCTTACATCTAGCAGCACTTTCTCCTTTCAGGATCTGTCCCCAGGCATCAGCCGACTGGGTCATGGCAAGTCCCCCCCAATCCCAGCTTAAGAATAACATCTGATTGTGCCACTGGCTCTTGCCAAGGTCTCCAGGTTCAGTTTTCTCACTCAGATGTCTGCCTGCTCATCGACCCAACTTTTGTCACCTCCAGCCCCATCCATCCCCTCAGTTGCCGACCTCATCACCTCCAGTCCTATCTGTCCTCCTGTTCCCAATGTCTGTATTTGTTTCCTATCCCTGTCCCAACGAGTGATCACAAACCAGCAGAGAATGTATTCCTGGCAGATCTACAGGTCAGAAATCCAGAATGCTCAGCTGGTTCTCCCCACAGAGTCTCACAAGGTCAAAATCAAGGGTTTGGCCTGCTGGGTTCTTATCTGGAAGATGCAGGGAGAATCTGCTTTTTTTTTTTTTTTTTTTTTTGTCAGTGAAAAAGCATAAGCAGGGGGAGAAGCAGGCTCCCACCCGAGTAAGGATCCTGATGTGGGACTTGATCCCAGCACCCTGGGATCATGCCCTGAATCAAAGGTGGGCGCTTAACCAACTGAGCCCCCAGGGCATCTCTGCACACTCTTATTTTTATCTTTTCATTCCCTTACTTTTTTTTCTTGAAAGATTTTATTGATTTATTTGACAGACAGAGATCACAAGTAGGCAGAGAGGCAGGCAGAGGGGGGGTGGGTAAGTAGGCACCCCCAGAGCAGAGAGCCCAACTCGGGCCTCAATCCTAGGACCCTGGAATCATGACCTGAGCCAAAGGCAGAAGTTCAACCCACTGAGCCACCCAGGCGCCCCAACATTCCCTGACTCTTGACTTACATGCTGACTCCATCTTCGACTTGCTGTTTGTCTCTCCCCTTGTCCCTCTGTCTGTCCCTCCATGCCCAACTCCTGACACACCAACTTTGTCAGCCAGGCCTGATGCCTCAGCCAAACCTGGAAGTTCACAGACCCTGTCTTGGGTGCCCTGTCCACTTTGCCCCCATGCCCACCATGTCTCCTGTTCCCTCTGAGACAAGACCTCTCATGAAGTAGACACATCAGGGGATGCCTGGGTGGCTCAATCGGTCAAGCAGCTGCCTTTGGTCACGATCCCAGCATCCTGGGATCGAGTCCCACTTCGGGTTCCTTGCTCCTCGGGGAGCCTGCTTCTCCCTCTGCCTCTGCCTGCCACTCTGCCTGCCTGTACTCTCTCTGTCACTCTGACAAAATCTTAAAAAAAAAAAAAAGACACATCAGGATCCTCTTGGTGCTGAGTCCTCTGAGGGATATAGACATGAGTTTTCTCCATTGAAGCCCAGGCTCAGGGTCAGATCACCCCACAAACACACCCAACACACTCGAGAACTTAGAAATGCATGGGCATAAATAAAAGTGAACTTTCTTTTGAAAATTTAGGTTTGGGGACGCCTGGGTGGCTCAGTTGGTTAAGCATCTACATATGGCTCAGGTCATGATCCCAGGGTTCTGAGATCAAGCCCTGTGTCAAGCTCCCTGCTCAGCGGGAAGTCTGCTTCTTCCTCTCTCTCTACCCCTCGCCCCACTCATGCTCTCTCTCTCTCTCTGATAAAATCTTTTTTTTTTTTTTAAAGAATTAGGATGGGTGCCTGGGTGGCTCAGTTGGTTACGCATCTGCCTTCAGCTCAGGTCATGATTCCAGGGTCCTGGGACTGAGGCCTGCGTCAGGCTCCCTGCTCAACCAGAAGCCTGCTTCTCCCTCTCCCATCCCCCCTGCTTGTGTTCCCTCTCTCGCTGTCTCTCTCTCTCTGTTAAATAAAATCTTCAAAAAAAAAAAATCAATTATACCCCTAAACATTTAGAACAAAAAAGTCCAAATGAAATTTTTAAAAATATGATTCATGTTGGCATAAAAAAAATAAAATACCTAGAAATAAACCTAACAAAAGATTTGCCAGGTCTCTCAACAGAAAACTATGAAACATTAATGAAACCGATTAAAGAAGATCTAAATAAATAATTCAGAGCAACAATACTCATAATCACCAGGAGGCAGGAACAACCCAACGCCCATCAAGCGAAATGGCAAAATTGTGGCATATTCATCACTGGAAAATTATACAGCAGTGAAAAGAATAACTCGCTGCTATTCGATGAATCTCATAAACATAATGTTCAGCAAAAGAAACCATAATCCAAAGTGGTTACCTTTGGAAGGTAATGCTTAGGGGGAAATGTGACTAAGGCTTCTGGGTTGTGGACAGTGCTCTCTTGTTTTATGTGGGTAGTTCCATTAATGTATTACACTATACAAATTTTTTAAAAATATTTATTTATTTATTTATTTATTTAAGAGAGGGAGAAAGCACACATGCAGTGGGAAGGGCAGAGGGAGAAGGAGAAGCAGACTCCCTGCTGAGCATGGAGCCTATCACAGGGCTCATCCCAGGACCCTGAGATCATGACCTGAGCTGAAGTCAGATGCTTAACCAACTGAGCCACCCAAGCGCCCTACTCTATACAGATTTAATTAAGCTGTAACTTAAGATTTAGCACTTTATGTATGTTACAACTATAATTTTTTTTTAAATTATTAGGTCTTACAAAGTTATCCACACCTCAAAAAGGGAGGGAAGGAGGAAGGGATAAGAAATACTGAAGAAATAAACAGAAAGAATGAATCTATACTAATAAAGTCAAGGAGCCCACCACTAGACAGCCTGTGCTTAGAAAACACTTGGCAAACATTCTTATTGAACTCTCAAGACCCCTTTAGGTGGGTACTATTTGTTCCCATTTTAGAGAAGCTGAGGTTCAGAGAGGTGAGGTCACTTGCCAAAGTCACACAGCGATGGCACTGGTTTTGTCTGATTCTATATCTCACACTTTTAACCACTGATCACATCACCTGTCAAACAGGTTCTTTCCCAGGCCTTATGAAAAGTCACCATCTAATAGCCATAATAATAACAATTAGCAACGATTACCACCTTAAGTCCTCAAGGTAACCTAAGAAGCAATTACTAGCTCCATTTCTGGGAAGAAACCTGAGGCTCAGAGAAGGTAAGCCATTGTGCCAAGGAAGAGATGGAGCCAAAATTCAAACCCAAGAACGTCTGCCTCCAGGCCAGGCCCATAGCCTTGTCATAAAGTCTGTACTGCCCAGGAGCTAAGCAGTTTGGATTCCATCCATTGGTTCACTCATTCATTCAACTTTTTTTTTTTTTTTTGAGCACTCACACTGAGCCAGACATGTTCTAGCCCCAAAGCAGCTTCTTGCTGCATATAGCTCACATTCCAGTGGGGGTGTTAGTACAGAGATATACAATATGTCACGTTGTGAGACACCCCATCAGGACCACTAAGAAACAGTAAGTGGTTAGTGAGATGGGGGCCTAATGCAGTGTGGCAGGGGAAGGTCTCTCTGAGGAAGTGAAAACTGAATGAATGATGGTGGCGTGAACGGGAGGATGCAGGACTCCTTTTCTGAGGCTCTGCTAGCAGAAAGGTGGAATAGATGGGACATCTTGTGCCCCAAATCCTTATTCTTTTTTTTTTTTTTTTTTAGATTTTATTTATTTATTTGACAGAGATCACAAGTAGGCAGAGAGGCAGGCAGAGAGAGAGAGGGGTAAGTAGGCTCCCTGCTGAGGAGGGAGCCCGATGAGGGGCTCCGATACCAGGACCCTGATATCATGACCTGAGCAGAAGGCATAGGCTTTAACCCACTGAGCCACCCAGGCGCCCCCCAAATCCCTATTCTTGGGAGTCGATTTCGGATTAATTCCCTTCTCTAGCCTGGAAAACTGGGAATATTTTACCCCCACTCTCTCTCATAAGGAATGATTGAAACGGTTTGAGAAAGAATCCTTCCGGGACCAGAGCCACAGAGGGCGTAGGAGTAATAGAGCAAGAGAGGGTAGGACATCATTGTGACGGTGACCCGGCACGGAACAAACGGCAGAAAGGGCATGACTTAGTAGCTAAAAAGAAGTGGGGGGATGGACAAGGGGTCCCTCAATCCAAATCTCCCTTGCTGGGGCCCATGCACCTAAGCTTGAGGCGGGAGTGAAGACCCCAGCACACCGGACTCGGACGCCCCTCGCTTCCCCCACCAACCCACGCTCCTCCAACCTTGGCGCGCTCGGCCAATACGCATGCGCCCGCTCCACTAGGCGAGGTGCGCGACCTGGTTGCCCTACGCATGCGCGGCCTCGTGGTGGCAGGTAACCGACGAGACTAGAGCGAGCCTTCCCCCGGGGCGCGCCTGCGTCGCGGGGAGGAGCCCAGGTGGGGCGGGGTTTAGAGGCCGCGCGCGCTCTCGGTCCCGCCCCGCGCCCTTTCGCGTTTTCCTGGCGGGGACGGCGCACTCACGTCTTCTTTCCCTGCAACTGCCGTTGGTCAGTCGTGGTCCCCCGCGGTGTCCCGGGATTGGGACGCGGGCCCAGGTACGCCCTGGCTGTGGCGAGGTTCCCCAGAGAAACCCTGTCAGAGCCGCCCATCGTGGGGGAACGTCCTCAATATCAAGGTCTTCCAAATCTTGTTAAAATTTTCCTGAAATCCTGACCAGATACCCTCAGAAATACTGAAAAGGACTCAGCAAGAAGTCCGTAGATGACCCCTGAAATCTTGTCAGAACCTTTTCGAAATTGTGTCAGACTTCTCCCTCAGAGCCTACCAGACTACCCCCCCAAATCCTGTTACGCTCCCTTCCCTCCCCCGAAGTCCTCTCAGAGAGCCCCAGAAGTCTCGTCAAACCCACCAAAACTCCTGTCACATTCCCCTCCCGGATCCTCTCAAGAGACCTCTGAAATCCAGCCAGACACCCCAGAAATCCAGAAACACCCCCAGAAACCTGGTCAGAGACCCCTTTAAGATCCAGACCCCCTTAACACCTGCCTCTAGCCCCCTCCTGCTCGAACCTGCCTGTCAAAGACCCTCCCTCACTCCCTCACCAGGAGTTTACCCTCCAGTCCCTCTTGGGGGCTCCCAGTGCCAAACCCTCCCTCACTGGTGCCCCACAGCCATCACCCGTTGTCCAAACCCTGGACCCGTCTCCCTTTAAAGGCCGCTTTTTCTAGGACATTCTAAAAGCTGCCAAGAAGTGTGGACCCAGCAGGTGCCAGGGAGATCAGGGTCAGGGGAGGACTTGGTGAAGGAAGGGGTGATGAGCAGGTGGGGTGAGGACAGACAGGCCCCAGGATACCCTGTGTTGACCATGTGCCGCAGGGTGCCCAGTTCAGCTCCAGTGGGCACTGTTGTCCAGTGTAATTATTAATAACACCATTCTCACCCTTAAAAGTGCTCTGGACTTGGGACAATGAGTCATACTGGACAACCAGTCAACCTGGTTATAAGGGAAGCAGGACAGGTCATTGTCAGGGCACAGAGGAGGGAGTCCCTAACTGGTCCATGGGCTCAGGGAAGGCTCCCTGGGGAGGCTGTGAGCCAGGGAAGTGGCCACAGGTGAGGGTGGTATGTGTGATGTGATTTGGGCCTGGGAAGACCATGGAAAGATACAGAGTTCCCATGGCTGTGATGAGTGTCAGGGACCTGGAGGTCAGCCAATGGGGAGCATAGTGACAAAATGAGTCAAGGAATTGCAGGGAGCACTTTGTCCCACACGAGCCAGAGGGGCTGGGACTTAGTCCCGAGGGCACCAGGGATCCATGGCAGGGGTTGGAGTAGGAGAAAGATGGGGTCAAACTCACACAAGAGGCCAACAGTTCCAAATACAGGCTGATAACGGCACAATGTCTTGTCACCTAGGGTGGTGTGGGAGCCCAGGGACAGCAGCTCATTCAGAAGCATTTTCCCAGAGGAGAGGATGTGTGAGCCAAGACTGAAAGGGCTAAAAGGAGGATCCCAGGCAGAGACCTAGAGGTGGGAACAGCCAGGCCAGTTTGGGAGAGAGCATGTAGCTCAGGGCTTCTGGAACTGCAAGAGTGATTTGGGGCGCGGAGGCAGGCAGGGCCAGGCCATCCAGGGCCTTCGATGCCGGATCCAGGGTCTAGGCTCAGTCCCTGGGGTGCTGGGGAGCCATGGGAGAACACTAAGCAGGGGAGGGGCAGGTCAGCTCTGGGACCCAGCACGGATGGACTGGAGGGGAGATCCTCAAGACTGGGAGGTGAGGGAGGAGGATGGGATGAGGGTCCAGGGGGAGAGGATGGGGCCTGGCCCAGAACTATAGGGAAGGAGAGGAGGGGACGGGTAGAGTCATAGGGCAGGAAGGACAAGGTTGGGGACTTGACGGGCTGTTGGCAGAAAGGGGGAAGGGGGAAGCAAGGAGGCAATGACCCCCATCCACTAGCCCCCCTCTTTGATCTCTGCTGCCCGGTCCTCGGCCCCCCACTTTCCCAGCCCACACCTCCAGTCCATAAAACAGGTCTGAGCGGGAGCTGCTCTGGTCGCAGCAGGGGTGGGCAAACAGGTTCTGAGAACCCAGAGCGGCCTGGGGCACAGGTGGGGCAGGGTGGCTGGTCTGAGGAGGCCATTCCCATTTGTCCTTCCAGGAGCTCTCAGAGTCGGCCAAGCCTTTGTCATCCCCTCCCGGTGATGGAGGCAGGCTGTTAGCCTCTCCAGCAGCTGCGGAACGACCACGGTGCCCCATGGATGTGCCAGAGAGTCGCGCGGGTGGCCCCGCTGCAAAAGGTAGGTGGCTTGGCCCTCTGTTTGCCCCGTAGGAGGATGAGGAGGGAGCAGTGGGGGAGCAGGTGCCAGCTTGTGCCTCGGGGACCTGGGAGAGGTGGCTTGGGTATCTGAGCCTCCACCTTGGCACAGGGTGGGAGTGGGGGAGCGAGCTGTCATTGAAGGACCTGCTGTTTGGACACTGTGTATCTCACTGGCTCTGGGGCAGCTAGAGCAGAAACCTCTGCTCGGAGGAGCACCCTTCCCTAACAACCTGCCAGCTCGGCCCTCACTTCATTCAGATCTCTGCTTCCTTCGAAAAGCTTACTTTCACATTCTCTCCCCTCTCCTGCCTCTCTTCATAGCACGGACATCTGTTTGTCTGTTTCATCTCCGTCTCTCCCACTAGAACTTGAGTTCCATGAGGTGGGGTCTGTTTTATTCACCCTGGTATTCCCGGTCCCTAGAGCAGCGCTGTCCAACATGCCAGCCGTAACTGTAATTTTAAATTTTGTTAGTAACCACATTTAGGGTTTTTTTTTATTTAAAAAAAATTACATATTTATTTGAGAGAGAAAGAGAGTGGAGGGGTTGGGGCAGAGGGAGAGAGACCCGCAAACAGACTCCCCACTGAGCGCAGAGCACCACACGGGGCTTGATCCCAGGACCCTGAGATCATGACGGGAGCTGAAATCAAGACCTGGCCGCCCAACCCTCTGAGCCACCCAGGCGCCCCAAGTAGCCACATTTAGAAGAAAAATGAAACAGGCAAAATGGGAACAATAGATTTTTATTTAACTTACTATATCCAAAATGGTATCCTTTCAGCATGTAATTAATATAAGAATGTATTGGAGATAGTCTTTGATTTTCATACCAGGGCTTTAAGACCTGGTGTGTAGTTTACAGTAACAGAGCATCTCAATTCACACGCACCACAATTCAAATACTCAAGAACTGCATGTGGCAGGCAAGTGGCCGCCCTAAAACAACGTCCAACTTGTAGGTGCTCAGTTATAGTCCCTGATTGTTTGGATGGATGCAAACCAAAGCCACGTGAAAACCAGCTTTGGGAGGAAGAGGCAGGGAGACAAGACACTGGGTGGCCTTCTCTGAAATTCACCTGCTAGGTGGGAGAGCTCATTGTGATGGGGGAGGAGGCTCCCACCCTAGGGCAGAGGCAGGGCCGCTTTTTCGAGGCTCCCAGTGTCCAGCAGCAGAGCCTGCATCTTTTCTCAAGGCCACAGGCCTGGACTCTGGCCTCAGGAGGCTTTCCAGAGGGGAAGGCAGGAGAGCAGACACCTGGTTGTCAGGACCCAAGGGCAGGTGGAGAGAGTGACTAACATGGCAACTTCGTGGGCACCAGCAGAGGGCGTGCGGCCACCGCTCCCGTGGGTGAGGGCTGAGCCGGCTCTGGGAGGCTCCTGAAGGAAAAGGAAGGACATACCGGAGAGAGATGGAGACAGAGGAGGGCTGGGGGTGGGAGGGAGAGAAGCGGAGGGAGTGGAGGAAGGAGACAGAGGCTTGGGGAAGGGAGGGCCACAAAGATATGGGAAAAGAACCCAGAGAGGGAGAAATGAGGAGGAAGAAAATAGAGAGGCAGGGATCCGGAAAGAGAGGTATGGGGAGGAAGATGGAGAGGAGGAGTCAGAGAGAAAACTAGAGAAGGGCAGAGACATACAGAGAGAGGGACAGACACTGAGGATGGAAATGAAGGAAAGAGAATAGGAGAAGCAGTGACATGTTCCTGAGGGGCCCCAGGAGGGGACCGTAGACCCATGTAATGGCCCTGCACCAGACAGTCCGGGGCTGACTCTGGCTCCACTCTCCCTGGCTGAGCAGCCCTGGGGAGTGAGCTCACTGGGCTCCCGGTCCTCCTGGGTAACATGGGGAGCACAGCAAGAAGAGATAAAGCCCCAGGAGGGGCCCTGGTGTCCCCTAACTGTGGGTCCCCTCCACCCTTCCCTAAGAGCATGGGTTCAAATGTTCAAACCTGAGGGGGCTGATTCTAGCTCTCTACAAAGAACCCCAGAGAGTAGAAGGAATTAGATAGAGGGCCCATGGGCTCCTGCATGGTTCAGTCGGTAGACTGTGTGACTCTTGATCTCAGGGTCGTGAGTTCAAGTCCCACATTGGGCATGGAGCCCATATTTAAAAAAAAAAAGAAAGAAAGAAAGAAAGAGCATTCATATGTTGAACAGATGACCTGGGGCAAGTTCCTAACTTCTCTGTGCCTTGAGTCTCCTCATCTGTAGTGTGCGGCTAATAATAGCAGCTACCATGGTCCATAGAAAAGCCCCAGAAGAGGAAGGATATCTACTAAATGCTAGATAAATATTCAGCTCTGTGACTGAGCCTCCACCACCTGCCAGGCCTTCGGCCCAGGGCTTTTCTAGATTTTATCTCAGTTCTCCCCTAGGAGGGAGGCAACACCCCCTTTTTCCAGAGGAAGAAACTGTGGCTCAGAGAGTCTATGCTCCTTGCTCAGGCCTCCCCTTGGGTATGTCACACCCTGCAGCCTGTGCGGGGCCTGCTGTTATACCCAGTTGTTCAAGGGCAGGGCAGGAAGTCTGGAAGGTCACTTCCAGTCCCAGCGACTCCTGGGATCTCCTGTATCTTGGAGCATTTATTGAGTGCTTACTATATGCAGACACTGTGGATACAGCAGTAAACCAACAGCTGTGGGGACATGCACATTGTGTGTTCATGTCCGGAGGGCTGTTCCCATATACAAACCTAGCCCTCCCAGCCCTGGTAAGGTAGGAAAGGATCACTACCTGCCCATTTTACCGGTGGGGAAACTGAGGCTCCGAAAGGAGAATTGACATGCCCACAGTCGTGTGGCTGGGCTCTGAGCTCCTAACTGCTCCCCCACCACCCGCCCTCCCTAGATCACCCACCCCCTCTCATCTCAGGCCCCTGGCTGTGGGCGCCAATGATGCCAGCCTGGCCTGGGGATTCAGGTAGGAGAGACCCGCCTCCCCTCCCCCGCCTCACGCAGGCGGGGAGACCGGAGATGTGGCTGGCAGAATCGATCCAGGCTGTCCGCGCCTTATTGGATTGTTCCTGGCTCCTGAGCCCCTCTTCACCCTCAACTCCTCCCAGAATCCTCTCTTCTTTGCCCTCCTCTGCTCCTAGCCCCCGCTGAGCAGAGCCTGGGTGGCAGGGGAAGAGAAGAGGAAAGGATGATCTCAGAGCCTTTGTCCTCTGGGCTCCTGAGTGGCTTGGACACAAAGGATTAGACAGCAGGGGAGACTTCCTGGCATGAAAGATGGGGTCCACATCCTCTAGGTGCAGAGCGAGGAAGCCACTCAGAGACCCTCAAGTTGCTGTCCCCGCCCACCCAAAGCTTCCTGCTGTTCCCCAACAGCCCCAACTCCCAAGTAGCTCAGAATAAATTCCCTCCCCTCTGCAGGAGCACGGGACCTAGGGTCACTCTTTCTTGGCCCTCTTCTCACGGGTGGGGCTGACCCTCTTGTCTCCCCAGTGTACCTCTGGGACCAGTTGGAGGAGGGGAGCCTCGGGACGCTGCTGAGCTTGGAGGAGCAAATACTCAACTCTACGTTCGAAGCTTGTGACACCCAGAGGACAGGTTGGGGTGGGGGGCAGGATGGGGGCCAGGCAGCAGTGAGCCTGGGAGACGTGAGGAATAATAAGGAACAGAGAGGGCTGCTGGGAACTGGGGAGCCGTAGAGAAGGGGCTCTTCTTGGGGGGCCTGCAGGTTGAGGTGGGGGTGATTGTGGGAAGCTTCGGGAAGGAAGTGGATAAGGGGATGGAGGCCTTTCAGGGTGAGGACATTAATGGAAGAGTGTAGGGCCTGGGGAGAGGGAGGGAGAGCAGCCACTGTGGCCCTGATGGGGTACAACAGGTCCTCGTGCTCCACCCTGTGAGTGACGATGGCCGGGCTCCATTTCGAGGTGAAAAGGTTGACTCAGAGGAGGGGAAGGACTTGCCCAAACTGTCTGGGTTAAGCTGTGGTACAGGGGTGCCACCAGCCCAGCCACTGGTGTCCTGTTTTCAAGCCATCACATGCCCCTGCCCCACCTGCCCCAGACTCCCTCAGGGCATGCTCTGTCCCCAGGCCTTGTGGCTGTGACCCACGTACTAGCATACCTGGAGGCTGTGACAGGACAGGACCCGCAGGATGCACGCCTCCAAACACTGGCCTGCAACCTGGACCCCAATGGGGAGGGCCCTCAGGCCACTGTGGACTTGGACACCTTCCTGGCCGTCATGAGGGACTGGATCGCTGCCTGTCAGTTGGATGGGTGGGTCTCTGCACCTCTAACCCTCCCCCGGAAAGTCCTTCCTAAGATCTAACCTCACACCTGCCCACTGCAGCCAGCATCCTTTGGGCACTGGGACCCACTGTGGTTTGAAGGAGGATGAGAGAAAAGTGAAGAGATGGGGTTGGGGGGATGGGGTGGAGGGTCTGAAGACAAAGTTCCTAGGATGAGGAGGCAGAAGTAAAAGGGAAAGGGAAGATGTGGGGGAATTGGGGGGCTGACAGAGGCCCATCCTCATCCCTTCTCCAAACCCAGTCCTTGCCCCTCCTGCTTTTCCATCTGGCTCAGGGCTCTTGCCATCTGGCCTTACCTTCCTCCCCACCGTGGTGCTGTCAGTGCTCCTGCTCTCACCTGACCTGGCCCCTCCTCCCGCCACCAGCAATCCCCCTGCGTGGCTTTTCGGGATTGGGGGTGGCTGCAGGGGGCTCTAAGCCTCATCCCTTTGATACAGGGGATTAGAGCTGGAAGAGGAGACAGCCTTCAAGGGGGCCCTGACCTCCCAGCAACCGCCATCTGGTGAGACTACTATATATAGAACGAAGCAGGCAGGCCCAGGGTCAGACAGTGGGAGGGACTTCCCACCTGGGGATGGGAGCCAGGGACATTGGGTGGGACCCCTGGAACATTTGCTCTCTCCTGGAGCTGTGAGTTTGGCTTTCTAGGCACCTCCATGGCTGCCTCCCCACCTTCCCTGAGCTTTGGGTTTTTTTTTTTCTTCAGGGACTGGTTCCAAGTCCTCTTCCTAACTACAGCCCTATCATAGAGGCCTGCGAGGCCCTGCCTACTTCTCCTTGTCAGCGTCACTGGGCTTCTGCCTACTCTCTAGTCTCTGCTCCCTCGGGCCTCCTGGCTCAGCCTGGAATGCGCTAGGTGCCTGCCCACCACGCTCTTCCGAACCCTAAACCTCCCATACCTGGGGAAGCCAGAGGATGCCCCGGGCTATGGTCCCTGGCTGTCTGGGCTCGCTCACAGACCCGCATTCCTCTCCTGGAGAAATCTGACCATCTGATTCAGTTCCCTGTCCTGCTGTTTGGTTAGTTGATCCTTTCCCCCATTTTATCCCTAGGACCTCACACATACGAGGTGCTCCATAAAAAAGTGTTCCTGTTGTACCTTACAAAAACAAAACAAAAGCAAAATAATAATAATCACAGCTTTCTTGATGTTCCCTTGGACCTCTTTCAGCAAGGTCAAGGGAAGGGAAACACCCCTCTGGGTGGGGGAAGGGACAGGACGAGGAGGCTGGAGGCGAGGAGGTTGGGGATGAGGTTGTGGTGAGGGTCCAGGAGGAGAGGGAGAAGCCTGAGCTAGGACTGGCCGAGACAGCGAGGAGCGTGGAGCAGATTCAGGGAGGAAGATGAGGGTCTGGAATCAGGGGGACTGTGGAGATGAGGAGGAACAAGGGAGCCAGGACAGCCCAGTGACCAGGTGAGTGGGTGGGAAGGAAATCGGGAAGAGGAACAGGTTTGGGGGTAGCTAAGGTGCTGCTGCCCAGTGCTGTGATGAATTCAGGGCTTCGAGAGAGTTCCAGCCTGAGCTCAGGGTATCAGTGAGCAAGAGGCCTTTCAGACGGTGGATATAATCGTAGCCCCAGGAGCAGATGAGATGACCCAGGGCAAATGCGAGGGTGAGGCTAATAGAGGCCAAGCCCAAGTCCTGGGGCTCCCCGACACCTAAGGTCACCGAGGAGCCCACCACCCTCTGTCCGTCTCCCTCCAGGATGCCCAGAAGCTGAGGAGCCAGCCAACCTGGAGAGCTTTGGAGGCGAAGACCCCAGAGCTGAGCTGTACCTATGCACCCCCCAACACCTTCCCCACGGCCCATGCCCTCCAACCTCCCTGCCATAGGCCTCGGCGGGGTCCTTAGCGGGGTGGGTGAGGGATGGGTTGTCGGGGCGGCTGTGCTGCTAGGCCTGGGAGAGCAGGGCAGTCTTTCTCTGTTCCTCATTCTCTAGAAGAGCCTCGTTTCCCCACCACCGCCGCCCCCACCTGGGAAGGGAAGTGGGTGGGAGCTGTGGCCGGTGACCAGCCCCTCCCTGACCCCAGGCCCGCCACCGCCGACCTGCTGAGCAGCCTGGAGGACCTGGAGCTCAGCAACCGCAGGCTGGCCAGGGAGAACGCCAAGCTCCAGCGCAGCCTGGAGACCGCCGAGGAGGGGTCCACGCGCCTCGGGGAGGAGATCGCAGCCCTGCGCAAGCAGCTTCGCAGGTGGGATCTCCACGTGCTCTCCCTGCACCTCCTGCCCTGTCTTCCACCCTGCGCTGTCCCATCTGCTCTTCCTCTTTCTCTTTTGTGTTTCCCTGGCTCTTGTCACTCAGCCTCTTGGGTTCAGACTCCCCTCTCTACTCTTCTCTGTGTCTCTATATCTGCCCCCTATGCCTGCCCTGTGGTCTTTCTCGTATCTGTCACATTCCCTTTATTTTAATCTCCTGCTCTTGCCAGGTTTCTGTCCCACCCCCTTAGTTTTTTATGTAGAAACTGGGTCTCTGTGTCCTGTACTAGGTTCTTTCCCCGCTTTTCCCTCTGGGTTTCCGTGCCCCACCCCACCCCCGACCCCCCAGGTCCCTGTCAGGATTTCTCTGTTGCTTCTGACTCTCTGAGTGGCTCTGTCTCTCTGGTCTCTGTTTCCCTCGCGTGCGGCCCCCCTCAGCACCCAGCAGGCCCTGCAGTGGGCCAAGGCCGTGGACGAGGAGCTGGAGGACCTGAAGACTCTGGCCAAGGGCCTGGAGGAGCAGAATCGCAGCCTCCTGGCCCAGGCCCGGCAGACGGTGGGTTCTGGGCAAGGGGTACAAAGGTGCCTTCTTCCTTCCCCCTTTCTTGGAGTCGGAGCAACAGAGCCTGACAGTGGAATGGGAAGGGGCAGAGGTTACCCCTGCTTCCTCCCTGACTCCAGGTCCTGCTTGATCTGACTCAGGGTGCAGATCTATTTGCCACCCCTCTCATGACAGAGGGGACAACAGGAGCCATCAGGGCTCCCAGACCTGTTCTCCCAGCCTTGCTCCTCCATGACCCAGACCCAGGCAGGATGGGTTCCCAGGTGTGGGAGAAGGGAGAAGGCAAGGAGGCCCAAAAAGAAGCCTTTGTCCTCTCTCTGGGGTCTTTCAGGAAAAGGAACAGCAGCATTTGGTGGCCGAGATGGAGACTCTGCAGGAGGAGGTGAGCTGAGGCCCAGTGCCCACCCCTACCCCTCCCCCAGTCCCAGGGATCTCCCGCCCTACCCCTGCTGCCCCCAAACACCTCCAGCAGCCTGCACCCAAACACCCTGACAGTCTGTAGAGGGAGATTCCAGAATCCCAGCAATGTACGAGTGTCTCTGAAAGTCACAGCGCTGTGTGCCCTGGTTGGTAAAACTGTTGGGCATGGGGCGGACTGCCTGGGCCCGTGCTGGGGTTGCCTACGTAAGCATGGGTCAGTCCCATCTCCTCTCTGTACTTCACTTGTAGCAGTGGCTAAAATAACAACCTCCCTCGTTGGGTGGTGTGGGATTTAAACACGGAGATGCTTGTAGTCTTAGGCACGAGGCAGGACCCATGGGCAGTGCTCGCTGAAAGTTTACCCCTGTTGCTCATATGTTAGCATTTTTTATGGTGGAAAGAACACAGGCTTTGAAGTCAGTCCTGAGTTCACATCCCATCTCTGCCACCTTCAGGCATGTGACTCCCCCTTCCCGAGCCTTTGTTTTATTCTCTGAGAATGGGAGGAGACTATCTGTTCGGCAGGATCGTCTTAGAAACAAATGACAGTGCTCAGCCGGGGGCCTAGCGCAGTGTCCACAATGGCCCAGTTCAACCACATGTCCGATTTGAGCCCCGTTCTGTCTGACACAGAGGACATGATCTTAGTACATCTGGGCCCACCTAGTCCTTTTTAGATGGAAACTGAAACTCATCAATCGATGAAACTCGTCACCACCCCTCTGCAAGGTGGCATCTAAGTGGCTGAAGACCCACACGGCATCTCAGTGCTCCAGGAGGCTGCCGTCCTCCCTCAACGTCTGTTCTCTCTGCTGGTCACAAGATTGACGCTCATCATCCCATCTGGTCCTCAGCCTTAGTCACCACCACACGCTGGCGTCCCCTGGGAGGCTGGCATTGCCCTGGTCTCTGGACATCCAGTTCTCACTGCATCTGCTGCCCATGGCCCTCTGGAGCCCCCAAGACACGAGAGCCTCTGGGGTACTCCCTCAGCCCCTCCCACACCCTTCCAGGGCCATAAAGGAGGCTTAGCTGATTTCCTGAGACTTTGTGGCCACAAGGGGCCTTGTTGGGCCTCTCTGCCTCCAGTCCACATACAGCCATCTCCATTCTGTTACTCACAGGCCTTGCTGGTTCTGAGACTGAGCTGAGAAATGCTCCCTCTCAGATTCCCAGACATCCCAGCGGGAGTGTGGTTCAACTGCAACCTTCCTCTCCACCCTTCGCAGCTAACCCGGGGTTTGGGGCTGGCGCAGGGCCTGTTTTCCCTCTACTCTCTTCTTTGACCCTCCTCCACCCCTCCCCTGCCCTAAGGATTTCTGCCCAGTCCAGACAATGATACTGATTCTGCCCGATCCCCCCAAGTCTCTTTGTCCTACATCTGTGTTATGGCTTTTACTATTTTTTTAAAAAAAGATTTTATTTATTTGATAGTGAAAGAGAGCACAAGCAGGGGGATCAGCAGGCAGAGGGAGAGGGAGAAGCAGGCTCTCTGCAGAGCAAGGAGGCCAATGTGGGACTCCATCCCAGAACCCCAGGACCATGATCCAAGCCAAAGGCAGATGCCCAACAAACTGAGGCACCCAGGCACCCCTGGGTTTTACATTTAAATCCAAAATTTTTCCACTATTGTTCTCTGGCTCTTCCATGAAAATTCCGTCCACTGGGACGACGGGAATCTCACCATGGGATGGCTGCCACGGTGTGAGGCATGGGGTTCAGGCAGGATGTGACTGTTTTCTTCCAGAACATCTCTCTTTAAGAACAAGGAGATGGGACACCTGGGTGGCTCAGTCAGTTAAGCTGTTGCCTTTGGCGCAGGTCATGATCCCACCCAGGGTCCTGGGATCGAGTCTCACTTTGGGTTCCTTGCTCAGCAGGGCTCCTGCCTCTCTCTCTGCCTCTGCCTGTCACTCTCCCTGCTTGTGCTCTCTCTCTGACAAATTAATAAATAAATTTTTTAAAAAAAGAAAGAAAGAGCAAGAAGAGATTTTCCCTAAAGTCCCATGGCAGAACCTCCCTCTTATATAAAGTGACATTATGTGATTATAGCCAAACCACTCCCTGGTATGGGCACTCCAATCCTGGATGGCCCAAAACACTTTCAGCTCCAAGGAAGGAGCTGAGGAAATGGTGGCTTCAATCCAAAGGACACTCACTTCCTTAACAAGAGACTTTGAAGTTCTCCGTGTTGGTTTGGTGACTCAGCCTTCTTCATTGGCCGATGGCCTCGTGATCTCAGATGGCTGCAACTGCTCCACCCTTGTGGTCTTATTCAAAGCAGGACAAAGAGGGGCAAGCGGGCCCAGCTAATGCCCCTCCTATGGCTCTCCTTTCGTCAGAAGGAAAAGCACCCCCACTATACCCACTATCCCAGCATACCTCTCTTCCATCACGCTGGCAGGAATTGGATCACATGACATCCCCAGCTGCAAGGGATGCTGGGAGAATATTTGACCTTCCTCTGCCTCTGGAGTGGGAGATGAGCAGTGAGAGGGGGCGAGAATGGCTGCTGGGTTAGCTAACCAGTCAGTTCTCCTGAATCTGCCGAGATCTCCCGAATCTTCCTCTTATTCACCCCTCCGGAGTGGGGCTAGGAGCCACTTGCTGGAGAGTGGACCCCCAACGAAAGCGGAAGGACTCCGAAGGGTGAATTGCAGCCAGCAATCTCTGCCTCCTCCCAGCGCAGAAGGCCGGCTGCCAGGTCAAGTGCCTTGAGCAGCTCCTGGGACATCCTAGGTGCTTGATAAACCGGAGCTATTCTTGGTTGCCTCCCTCCCTACCTTTCCCCTGCCCACAGCAGCCTACAGAGCATCTATAGATGGAGTTCTCAAGTTACAGGAGAATAATGCTGGTGTAGGGGACACTCAGGATACTCGGCTTTCCTACAGAGGATCTTCAGAGCAGGGCTCGGGTTACTGCAGAAGAAGGCAGGAGAGGCTGAGTAACCAGGTTCCCTGCTGGACAGCCCAGAATCCAGCCTCCAAATCCCCACCAGGTGGACAGATGTTGACACAGCATTCCTGGCCTGTCCTTCCTCTGCCCTTCACCTGGCAGCCCAGGCCCTCGGAGAAAAAGAAGGAGGGAGGGCTGATGGAGGACTTGGAGCCCATCCAGCTGGAGAGAGGGCAGAACTGTCCCTGGTGTCCCCAGGGGCATGGGGAGGAGGGGCGTGGCAAGGGAACTCCAACTGCCTCCCGGCCCTGAAATGCTTTTGCCCATGGCTGCTACACATCGAAGTCAGCACAAGTTGCTAAGTTTTTGGTGCCTGGAAACTCTCGACTGGATTTGGGACCACTTTATTGTCAGATCCCATTTCACAGCTGGCATGGGCTGCCCCTTTCCTGGCCCCCTTGTTTTCTCGGATAATTCTCCCCCTGGAGGACTCGGGGTGGCCCAGCCCTGCCACTTCCGAAGGCCCCTCATCCAGGCTGCACAGGGCCCAGGCCCTAGGCCTCATCAGAGTCTGCCTCCTGAGTTATCATCTGCTTCAGCACCGGTCCCCACCTCTAGCGATGAGCTCCCTGAGGCCAGAGATGAAGCTGTTCCCCATTCTCACCCGGGGCTGCGTCTCACCCCAGAGAGAGTCCAATTTGGTGAGTCCACTCACCAAGTGACCTTGGCCAAGTTTCTTAGCCTCTCCACTTTTCAATTTCCTCTGTAAAATCAGAAGGTGAAGCAAATGAAAACATTAACAACCAGACATGACATTCTTCCCAAATGGCACAACGTGACATGCATAGCAGCACCCAGGAAATCTTCCTCCCCCCAAAATTGAACAGGAGCCTGGACAGGGTGCTGGATCTACCCACCAGTTTCAAGGAAATGAAGAGGTTGGACAAATATGATGAACGTCCTGTGGAGGGAATGAGAACTCAGGAAGCCAAATCTGAATGCACAAATTCTACAGGACAAATAACTTGATTTATTCCCCAAAAGACGTGCCCCAAAAAGTACCTGGGTTAGGACGGGTGGGCGACCATTGTCAGAGGAAAAGAAATGAGACATTTCAAACAAAAGCCAAAGTCAACCTTGTTTGGATCCTCCTACAAACAAACTAAATGTGAAAAGACCTTTGTGAGACAACCAAAATGGAAAAAAAGAAAAGAAAAGAAAAATCCACAAATTTGATATAAGACTGTAGTAAGGAATTATTACTTTTGTTAAGCATGATCATGGTGTTGTGAGTTTGGTAAAGTAAACAATTCCTTAAGTAGGAAATTAAAATGCCAGAGTCGTTCTAGGCAGAAATCACAGGCTACCTGGCATTTGGTTTAGAGTCATCTGTTCAACAACAACAAAAAAAAAAACTTGGAGAATAGGGAAGAAGCTAGGAAAATATAAATAATTATTGAAGCTAGCTGGTGGGCAGTGGGAGTCCATTATACTGGTATTTTTACTCACATGTGTGTGAAAATATTTAGAATGTGAAGTTTTGAAAGTATCTTTAAAATACATATTTTGTATTTCCTGAACATTTGGTATGTGCCAGGCACTGTTCTAAATGCTCTGTGCTTATTAACATAGAGTAGCGTGTGTTTGCAATGAATTACCTCCTGTACGGCCTGGGGGCTCAGGGCTCAACTTTTCTGTGCCCCACTTGCCTTTATCTGCACGATGGGAGAGGAGACCTGAGGTAACACGGGCAAGGTGCTCAGACGTGCTCGCAGATACTGTTATGAACCCCGTGGAGTGGATCCTGTCTCCTCAGATGAGCACCCGTGACAGACAGAGAAATCACGGCTGAGATCTCGTAGGCGGGGTGGAGGGATTCAGTGGGCCCAAATACATAACGTGCTCAGCACGAGTTGTCCGTCAGGTGATCAGGGCACTAACATTGCTGTTGGCCGAAGTGGTCCTTCCTTCTTCCAGAACGGGAAGCTGCTGGCGGAGCGGGATGGAGTCAAAAGGAGGAGTGAGGAGCTGGCCACGGAGAAGGAGGCTTTGAAGGTGCCACCCCTTCCTAGTGTCACTTCTACCAACTTCAGCCCCTCCAGCCGAGTGAGAGCTGGGACTTCATCAAGCCGTCAGGCTCCCAGGGCTCCTGGCAGCTCGGCTGAAATCCCTCTCTGGGTGGCTGATGTCCAGAGACATCACGGGAGGTTGAGGAGTGGGGCTCGGGAGAGCTGGGTGGGCTAGGGAGGGCAGCGCCCGCTGAGGCCTGTCCTGGGAGGCCGGACAGATGGATGGACTCCTTCCTCGGCAGCGGCAGCTCTATGAGTGTGAACGCCTCATTTGCCAACGAGATGCTGTCCTCTCGGAGGTGAGGGGCCTGGGGGTGGCGAGGGGACATTTGCCTTCCATGTGCTCCTGCCCCAAGGTCTGGGAGTCCTGCCTGGGTCTTAGCCCTGGATAAGCAGCACAGAGAGGTCAGAGGGTTCCCCTGGCCTGGCAAGCCTGTCCCTGCAGGAGCTAGAAACCTGATGCTCTCCCTCAGGCCATAGCTCCTCCCCCAAGCTCACCCTGCCCGTCTCCCCTACCCCTGCCTCTGCATCTTGGCGGAGCTGGGCCTCGTCTTACTGGGCTTTGGGCTTCCCCAGCGCACTCGCCATGCGGAGAGTCTGGCCAAGACATTGGAGGAGTACAGAACGACCACCCAGGTAGCCTGCAGCCTTCCCGCCCTCGGCCCGCTGCCTGGCCCTGCTCTTCTGCCATCTCTGCGTTCACTGCCTCTCTCTGCGCCTGTCCGCCTTGTGGGGTGTGTGTGTCTCTGGCCTTTTCACTTGTCTTCTGTTCCTTTCTCTCTCTCTCTCTCTCTCTCTCTCTCTCTCTCTCGCGTGCGCGCACGCGCGCGAACCCTGTGTATCTCCACCTCCGGTCCATTTTCATTCTCTGTGGGAGTCTTGTCAGTGCATTTCCCCTGCCCATCTCTCTGTGTGTCTGCCTTTCTTTGATTTAGTCTGTCTGTCTCCAGGGGTGATTCTACCCTCCGTTGGTCCTTGATCATTAGGCTTCTCCTGCCCCTCGCATGTCTTTGCCTCTCTGTGAGTCTGTGTCCGTCCATGTCTCTTGTTCTTAGTTTCCCGGGCTGCTGGCTTACCTTCTCTGTTCCTGCTGCTCTCTGTCTCTCTTTGGCTTCCTAAGTTTCTGTCACTGCTTTCTTCCTCTTGTCCCTTGGCAATATATGTCTGGAGGAGCCCAAAGAAGTCAGGGGAGTGGAATTGACTGTAAAAGGAGCCCAAGGCCGGGAGATAGAGAAGAACAGAAAGACAGGGGTCCCCCACTCCCTCCTTTGCAGGAACTGAGGCTGGAAATCTCACATCTGGAGGAGCAGCTGAGTCAGACCCATGAGGGGCCGGATGAGTGAGTGGAACATCAGGGGTAAAGGAGGCAGGAGGGGAGCCCGCAGGCAGGGGGCCCCCAACCTCCAGCCACAGGGTGGGCAGAGCAGCCACCTCAGAGTGGGTGGACTGACCTGTAGGGGCAGGCGCAGAGAGAGCCGCCCCTTCTTGACCATGTGGCCAGGCTACTGGAAGGGGCCCAGGCGAGAAGAGTGGGCTGGACCAGGCTGCTGCCCCCGTCACTGGGCGTGGAGATCGAGTCCATTCGGCAGGTAGGCCTGGCTCCTCGGGAACATCCCAACCCCCCCGCCGGCCACAGCTCTGACGCAGCCCTGATTCTCACCCACCCCATCTCCCCCCAGGACCATCTCAGTCCTTTACCTCATTCCTACCCCAATCCTTGGTCCTGCTGCCAAACCCTTCCCAGGTCTTGCCTCCACCTGCTCCCCAGCCCAGCCTCACCCCCGCCACACAGCCCCCGACCCAGCTTCTCCTACCCCATGCCTCAGCATGTGTCCATCCCCATCTCTGACCCATCTTCTGCCTTCACCTGGCCCTCCTGACCTCAGAAACAGCTTCTCCTCTCCCAGAAACAAGAAGTGGCAGCCGCTGCTCTCTCCAGCCCTCTGTGTGGAGTGTGGCAGTGGGAGGAGGTCATCATTGAGACGGATGAGGAAGTGGAGTTTCTGCCTGAAGCCCCGGCTGGGACACTGGTGAGCATGGGTGGGGGGGCTCCGAAACCACTAGAGTCCAGTTGCTGGAAGAGGGGCCTGGGACTCCCATGTGCCACGAGCTTGCTGCCCATTCCATGGGCAGATGTTGACCAAGGGCCTTCTGGACACAGGCCCGAGCCAGGCAGAACACCATCCCTGCCCTCTGGGGACTGGCCCTCCAGGGGAGTAGACAAGAGCAAACAAAGCAAATGCAAACTGCACAGTGGTAGTTTTGTCGTTGAGAAAGCACTGTCAGGAAGCCCTGCGTTTACAATGGTCCTGCCGGGGGAAGTCACGAAGTGAGTCGTTCCTCCGGATACCGTAAAGATACATTAAGCTTTTACTTTGGGGATAGAAGGCACCGTAAGAACAGCTTAGCAAGCCCATGTGGAAATCTTGAACTCAGCCATGGCGGTTGTTTTATGACTTCTGTAATTACCTGAGCAGTATTTCCACATCCTTCTAAACAACCGAGACAACTCATCTTCAGTGTCCACAACAGAAAAGTGAGATTTTAATCTATTAGTGCCAGAAGTCTCTCTGTCTGTCTGCTTTTCTTTTTTTTTTTTAAGGAAATATTGCTAACAGGTCTGTAACTGCGTTGTCTTGAAAATAAGACTGCTTCAGGGGCGCCTGGGTGGCTCAGTGGGTTAAGCCTCTGCCTTCGGCTCAGGTCATGATCTCAGGGTCCTGGGATCGAGTCCCGCACCGGGCTCTCTGCTCAGCAGAGAACCTGCTTCCTCCTCTATCTCTCTCTCTGCCTACTTGTGATCTCTCTCTGTGAAATAAATAAATAAAATCTTAAAAAAGAAAAAAAAAGAAAAAGAAAATAAGACTGCTTCAGAATTATACTGTTCACCATTCTGAAAGGAGAAACTCCTTTCTTTGCTCACTTTCTCCCTGGGTTGAGAGAAGCTTTTGCATTTCCCTCCAATGCCTGTGCTGTTTGTTTTCTTTTTTAAAGATTTGTTTATTTATTTGAGAGAGCGAGAGAGCTCGTGTGAGCGCAAGTTGGGGGAGAGGGAGAGGGAGAAACAGTCTCAAGCAGGCTCCACACTGAGCACAGAGCCAACAGGGGACTTCATCTCACCACCCTGAGATCATGACCTGAGGAGAAACCAAGAGTCAGATGCTTAACAGCTTAACCAACTGAGCCACCCATGCACCCCGATTTTTCATTTACCTTCCCCAGTATCTCTGCAAGGTAGGCATCCTCACCCCTCATCCTGTTACCCATGGGAAACTGAGGCTCAGAGAGGTCACACGTTCCCAGTCACGTAGCCTGTGGGTGGCAGAGTCACATCCTTCTGAGGAGGTGTGAATTCCTCTGGGGGCTCTTGACACCCCATCTAAAGGAGCACTGATCCAGGCCTCAGGGTGCTACCAGCTCTGGGTCCTAGAATTAAGGTGCAAAGCTGCTCGGGGCCTGGTGGGAAGATCGTGCGAATGGGCCATCCCCATGCAGAGTGATGGGTGTGCAGAGGTGGGGGCCAGGCCCTGAGGGAGCCCAGCAAAGGGAAGACCTGTGTCGGGTAGGAGACTGGAGAGGTGTCACTGGGAAACCAACACTTGAGTTTATTTCGGAGAAGAGAGAGAAGTTGAGCGGTGTCAGGAGAGAGAAGCCTTCCTGGCAGGGGAAAGCAAACACAGGAGGATGTGGGGCATGAAAGCATAGAACACGATTGGGCAGCAGAGGGAGTGGCGGGAGGCTGGGGAGCCATGGGGCCCGATCACAACAGGAATTACCTGTAAATCAAGCAGAGAGATTGTACTTTTCTCCAACGAGTCCCAGGATGACTGAGGGTAGGGAGTGGGTGTGGTCAGCTCTCAATATAGAAAAATCCCTCTAGAAAGATCCCTGGTGGGGGCGGGGGAGTGGGGAGCCTATATGGAGAGCATGGGGACTGACTAGAGGCAGGGAGGCCAGGAAGGAGGCTGGGGCAAGGGTCCAGAAGATAAAGCCTGAGGCAGGCCAGGGCCTTGGGATAGAGGAGGAGGGATGGGCAGAGAGAAGTGGGGTAGGAGAGATGGGGCTGGGGGTCTGGGGTGCTGGAAAGGGAGAAGTCAGAGAGACATCAAACTTACCTTGCAGGGACACCTGGGCGGCTTAGTGGGTTGGGCGTCTGCCTTCAGCTCAGGTCACGATCCCAGTGTCCTGGGATCGAGTCCCACATCAGGCTACCTGCTCAGCAGGGAGTCTGCTTCTCCCTCTTCCCCTCCTCCTGCTCGTGCTCATTCTCGCTCTGACAAATAAATAAAATCTTAAAAAAAAAAAAAACTTACCTTGCAGCCTAGTGAGATGGGATCCTGAGGGACGGCCAGGGAGCTACCTGGGGTCAGTGGGTGCACAAGCCTGGAGCTCAGGGATGTATTTAGGAAACAGTGTCAGGTTGGCGACTGAGGCCGCAGGGAAGGAGGAGAAACTAGGATCTGGGTCCTGAGAGAGAACAACTGGGCGGGCAGGCGGGGGGCTGCCCCCAGACCAGGAACCTGGGAGGAGAAGGGGATGCAGGAAGGAAATGCCGGGCTTCCTTTTGGTCCACATGAGTAAGAGAAGCTCGTGGGAGTGTGAGAGGTTTGGGGGACCTGGAGTCCTGGGTGCTGAGGAGAAAGGAGTCTGGCTTCTACGCCTGAGGGGGATGTAGAGCTCGGCCCCCCGACCCAGGGAGGGAGCCCAAGAGGAGGGCAGGTTTTAGCAGCAGGTGGGTAATTCTTGCAGGGGTCACAGCCTAGGAGACTTACCCTTGCCTTTTCCCACAGAGACACTTGCAGGGAGAGCTAGCACACCTTCAGGGAGGAAGGAAGGAGCGATCAATGTGGTAAGAAGCTTGTTCCTTCCAGAGCCATCCCCCTAGCTTGGGGTGACACCACATTCTTGGACATTGTGCAATGACTGGAAAAGCCCTGGGGGGAGTTGCACCTCATTCCCTCCTTCATTCATTCATTCCCTCCCCCCGAAGTGACCCTTGGCCTGTGAACCAGGATGAGCCACCCCAGCCCTGCCTTCAGCATCTCCTGGTCTAGAGGGAGACAGACTCTGACCCATCCTGTTCTGAGAGGACATCTGGCACTTCGAGCCAACTGGGGGAAGGCTTCCTGGGGACATGATGCTTGAATGGGGTCCCATAGGAGCAGTACTCATATAGGAGACTCTTAGACAAGAAGACAGTTGTCTGGCTGATGGGACAGCTCAGTCACTGGGTCACTGTCACTGAACATACCTCTCCCAAGGCCTCCAAGGAATCCTGGGATGAAGGAAACCCAGACTGGCCCAGGGAGAACACCCAGGTAGTTAAGAGACAGTCGGCGACTCCGGAATCAGACAGCCTGGGTTCAAATCCCGTGATGGGGTGCTGTAAGCATTACTGTCCAGAGCCCCAGACCTGTGATTGTTAGGAAGCTCAGCGGCAGGCCTCTGGGGAGAGATAAAGCACGAGATGTCTGGGCCTATCCTCCTCAGGCCTGGCCTTGGGGCCTGTGGTTTATCTCCTATGGAAACCTGTGGTTTCCTGTGATGCCTCCCGCTGCACCCCGCTTCAGGCTCTGGGCTGCAACAACTAATGAGCCGCCTGCCACTGGCCTCTAATTGGACCTGTCTGAGAAAGCTGAGATTGGGCAGGAGGGGGACTCTGGAGATATGCCCCCCCCCCCACCCTGCGTCACCAGGGAAGGGAAGGGAGAAGGGGCTGAGCAGCAGCGGGGGTGGGGGCTGGACATTGGAATTTCCCAGGAGCAGGGCAGTATGACCCACAGACTGGGAAGCTGGAAGCTGGAAGCAACGGAGGAGGTGAAACCCATGGCCCCTAAAGCTGACCAGGGTGAGGGCTTGGACCTTGAGAGGTGCTGGGGGAGGAGCCCCCGGGGGCCCAAGCGGCCATCCCAGGAGATGAGACAGCTGCGTGTCTGACAGGGCAGAGGCTGGGGGCTTACCAGCCGAGATGCCTGTTTGTGTCCTAGTTGAAGACACAGCTGTGTCCTGAGGGTGTCAAGGTGGCGGCAGCTGGAGGGCTGGACCCCTATTCCCCAGTGAAGGTGGTAGCCTGTGGTATGGCCGTCCAGGTCTCCAAGAGGCGTCTGCGTCGCACAGCTTGAGGTCTGAGTCCCAGAGGGGTATTTCACGGGCTCGGGCAGCTGCAACCCTCAGAGGGGCAGAAGCTGAGGGCCTGCCCACCGAAGAGAAATGATTTGTGGGGGAACTTGCTCACACAGTTGGCTTCTGGAATCTCTGTCCTAAAGGAAGACCCAGTAAGACTGACACTCACTGAAAGCGGCACAACCCCACAGGCACGAAGTGGCTGCCCTGAGTCTCCGCTCCGAGTCTCTGGTGTTTGGGAGAGTAAGAGAGCAGAAGCCTCAGCTCCCCGCTGTAGCATCAGATAGTGGAAGAAAAAAATCAAAAGAGCCTCTTACCCTTTTTGGGGGTCACACACTCCTGAGAGTTTGTTGACAATTCCCCTGCCAAATATGCACAACAGACCTACACCCAGCAGCTTGCTCATGGGGATCCAGGACACCCCCAGGCCCACCCGTGATGCCCACTCCCCACTCAGACCCCTGCTCTAAAGGCTCGTCCAGCCCCACAGTGGGAGAACGGGAGCCATGTGGAAGCAAGACGCTTGCAGTGACCCTGTTGCCCCCCAGGTTGCCCAGAAGAGAGGAAGAGGAAGAAGCAGCGCCCCAGATCATGGTAGGCAGTCCCCAGCACCCCCTCCCAGTCCCCACCCACTCCAGGGCCTTGAGGAGGGTGACACAGTGGCAGCTCTTCCCAGCCCTCACCCACACCCCCTCTTCTCCCCAGCAGACAGAAAAATCATTCGGCCGAGAGATAACAAGGCCCTTGCTATAGCTAATGAGAGCGGACAGCGCCGTGGGGGGAGGCCTGCGGGCCAGTGGGCGGCCAGAATGTTCCCGGGGGAACCCCCAAGCACACACAAAGGGCTGTGGAGGCTAAACCTCAGGCCTCACAGACGTGGCTACACCCCCGGAATGCGAAAATGCACACGCACATGCGCCCACGCACAGGAAGGGGCTGGGCCCGCCCCAGCCAGCCCCAGAACTCCCTGGGGCACAGCGCCTGTCACAGCTCCCCCGCCTGGCACCACTCACACCAGCTGCTGTGCTCCTCGAAGCCACAAGGCATGGTGCAGGTGCCCGTCGCCATTCTCAGGCAGGGATAGGGAGGGAAGCTCGGGGAGGAGAGGCAGGGAGCCCGGGGTCCTCAGGGTAGGAGGAATATGGGAGCCCGAACGTGTGCCAGGCATCTGGGCCCCTTTGGGGTCCAAACCCTCCAAAAGGGGGTCTCTGAGCAGCCTGACCCCAAAGCCTACCTCCCCCTTCCCTCCACGGAGATGGGACCCCACCTCAGTTTCCTCACAGCTGACTTGATGGATGATCTCTCCCGAGCTGTTGGCATCAGAGCTGGGAACCCAACCCTGTGGGGTGTCACACTGCACTCCACCCCCTTCCATGTGGTCAATTCTGTCCAGTGGCTTGAACCAAGGGCCTCTCCCAATCCAGGACCCAGTCTCAAGTTTGTTTCCTTTGTCCCTCCAGGCCAATCTCCCCAGCCCTCTGGGGGACCCGCATCCTGGAGATGTTCTGGAAAGCCCTCCTGAGAGGTAACAGGACCCACCGGGACTGGAAGGGGCCTGGAGGCAGAGGAAAAGGTCAGCGTGATTGCCTCGCCCTCCTTTCTGTCCAGCAGCCCCACCGAGCCCGAGCCGCAGCAAGCATTGGTGCCTGTGCCCAGAGAGCTGGTCCCAGTCAGGAGACCAGGCTGGGGCCAGCTCTGCCTGCCCTCCCTGCAGCCTGAGCCACTCAGGTGCGCCCCGAGGCATCTCCAGAATGAGGGTGGCCGGCACACGCTGGGGTACTGCCCCCTGTTGAGACAGCCCCAGCAGCCCCCCGCCCTGGGGCCTTCTCTGAACACTGGGCTGCCTCCCACCAGGATCACTCGGCCGCCGCTGATCCCGGCCCCCGTCCTGGGCCTGCTGCTGCTGCTGCTGCTGTCCGTCCTGCTGCTGGGCCAGTCCCCGCCACCCACCTGGCCCCATCTCCAGCTCTGCTACCTCCAGCCCCCCCCAGTGTGAGCCGCTCAGAGCAAGGTCTAGTCAGAGAATTCCCGGGGAATCCTACTGTTACCATTGTTGTGCCGTTAGCTGGGAGGGCTCCGGTTCGGGGACCCTAGATACAGTGCTCCAGGATCCGCACCCCTGTGTTGAGTTTTTATGTGAAGTTTTTTGGTTTTGTAACACTGGTGACTACATTTCTGAGCAATAGCAAAACACACCCAACAATGGGTTAAATACTAGGGGTTTATCTTCCTCCTAAAACAAGTCTGGAGGAGGGCAGCTATGAGCCCACAGCTCAGTCTCCACAGCCTGGGGGATGAGGGAACGATGATTCTCTGTGATCCTCTCAGCCCTTCCCTCTTGCTCGGGAGCCGGCAGGTGTGGCTTCATACATCACATCTGTCGGAAGAAGGGGACTTGTCCCTTCCTTTCTTTATAAAGAAAAGACGTGGCCTTCCCAGAGCCAGCAGCAGACCTGTGTTCATGTCTCATTGGCCAGAAGTGTTTGTTACGACCCCTCCTAGCTGCAAGAGAGGCTGGGAGACTGAGCTCCTCTCCCCTCTCCTGGCAGAAAGAGGGAAAGAGACACATGGGCCGGGCACACATCACAGATGTCCCCTGCAGGGCAAACAATCGGCAGGAAATGGACCAGTGTGCCACTAGCTTACTCATCACTTACTGTTCATTCATGTGCTGTGATTAGACCTTAGAAGATAAAGCCGTGGGGACGTCTGGGTGGCTCAGTCCATTAAGCATCTGACTTGGGCTCAGGTCATGATCTCGGGGTCCTGGGATGGAGCCCTGCAAGGTCTCCCCACTCAGGAGGGAGTCTCCTTGTCCCTCTGCCCCTCACCCACTCATGCTTGTATGCTCGCTCTCTCTCAAATAAAATCTTTCAAAAATTCATTAAGTTATTTGTTAAAGAAAGGAAAATAAAGCTGTAGAAAAACAGGCCCTCCAATGCCAGGCTGAAGAGCCCTGGTTTTCTCCTGAGGATGATGGGAGATTTCAGAGATTTTATTGCTTTTGTTGTTGTTGTTATTTATGCTTTAATTGAGACACAACTTGCATACAGATAAATGGATATGCTCGCTTCAGTGCATACACTAGAAATGGAACCATACAGATAAATGGACAAATCTTAAGTATCAGGTGCATGAGTTTTCACATATGCAAACAACCACAAAACCAAAACCCGGGTCAAGATATGAACAATTTCAGCACCACAGAGGGTTCCTTGGGAGAGTTTTGAGCAAGGGAGGGTCAGAGTCACCCCTATTTAAAGGCAGATGGTGGGGGAGCCTGGGTAGCTCAGTGGGTTGAGTCTCTGCCTTCGGCTCAGGTCATGATCTCATGATCTCAGGGTCCTGAGATGGAGCCCTGCATGGGGCTCTCTGCTTAGCAGGGAGCCTGCTTCCCCCTCTCTCTCTGCCTGCTTCTCTGCCTACATGTGATCTCTTTCTCTCTGTCAAATAAATAAAATAAAATCTTTAAAAAAAAATAAAGGCAGGGACGCCTGGGTGGCTCAGTTGGTTGAGCAGCTGCCTTCGGCTCAGGTCATGATCCCAGCGTCCTGGGATCGAGTCCCACATCGGGCTCCTTGCTCATCAGGGAGCCTGCTTCTCCCTCTGCCTCTGCCTGCCATTCTGTCTGCCTGTGCTTGCTCTCTCTCCCTCTCTCTCTCTGACAAATAAATAAATAAAATCTTTAAAAAAAAAAATAAAGGCAGATAGTGATAGAGGTAGCTGTAGGTTCCATAGGAACCCAGAAAATGCACTTAACCTGTCCTGGAAGGATAGGGATTTTGTCCCTATTAGGTAACATCTGTGTGCAGTCTTGAAATATGAGTAAAGTTTGTTACATTGAGCAGGGACCAAAGGAGGGTGTCATGGGCAGAGAGAAGTGTGTGTGTGTGTGTGTGTGTGTGTGTGTGTGTGAAGACCAGGTGGTGGGAAAGCACCTCTGTGGGCAGAGAGCCATAGAAACCACCATGCTGCTGGGATTAAAAGAAAAGAGGAGGATCAGGGCAAGGAGGATTGGGAAGAGAGCTTCTGAGCCTGCATGGGGGATGAATATGAAAGGAGGCAGGAGGTGGGGAAAAGGCTGGGGCTTGGTCCAGATGGGAGAGGATGAGGCTTGAGCTGAGCTGGGCATGTGGCTGGGAAGAAGAGGAAGGGCAGAGAGAGGCAGGGCAGGAAGGACAGAGCCAGAGACTGATGGCTGTGAAGGAGGGTGCTGAAGGAAGGGGCAAGGACAGCACGTCGATCTGACCCAGTGACTGGTTCCAAAATGGGAACCCATGAGAAGGAGTAGGTTTGGGGGAACACCAAGCTCATATGAGATGGGGTGAATGTCAGTGTTCCAATAAGTGGCCAGAGCTCTGAGGCTTGAGCCCACAGTCTGGAGATGGGGTTCTGCCTGTTGGGAATTGCTGAAATTTCCTGGGGAGAGGTGAGTGGAGTGGAGGAGGAAGGGCTTCCAGGCGCCATTTTATGAAAAGCCTCGAACATACAGAAGACATCTAGGGAGGAAATATGGGAGGAGTTCAGGCAAAGACCCAGCTAGCAGGCCCTCCGGCCAAAAGCCAATGAAGCTCCTCACGAGGTTGTTGTGAGCCTGGCTCAGAGAGCCAAGAGGAGTGCAAGATTTAGACGGGGGCCTGGCATATGGTAACTGCTCCTAACTTTACTCCCATTTCTCCAGGAGAGTAATGGCAAGGTCTAGACTAGAAGTCATACAGATCTGCGTTCCAGTTACCCTTTTGTCCTTTACTGGCGCCGGCAACTTGGGGAAATTACTCTTGACTTTCAGAGTCTTACTTATGAAATTTGGTCAACTCCAGATGGTGTTGAGGAATACAGTTATTCCTTCATGATTCAGTATTTCTGAGTGAGAGAAGCAGGCCCACCCCTACAGCCTAAGGGCCAATTAGGGCGCGGTCCGCCTCCCAGACAACCCACACGACGGCTTGCCACTCACCCAGCGCCAGCCCCGCCCCCTTCCCGCGAGCCCACGCGCCCAGCCCCGCCCTCTTCTCTAGACGAATCAGCGCGCGATCCGCACGAGCCGCGCCCAGGGCGCGCTCTTTGGAGCCCTCTGCGTACCCCTCGGAGCGGGTTGCCATGGTCACCATTGAGCTTTGGGACTGAAGGGCTGGCGGGAGCAGCCAGTGAGCGAGACAGAGAGAAAAGGAGACGGATTCTGATTGGCTGCTGCTTCGCTTCACCAGCGCCTCAGCCCTGTGCCTCCGGGAGCCTGACGCCTGGTCCCCTCTGTCCTCTCCTCCCGCCCCAGCGGTCTCCTGGGACGGGCGCAGTCAAAACCCTGAACAAACTTCTGGAGGCTGCTGCTAGAGGGGCAGAAACCCTTTTCTAATAAACGCGTTTTGCTTCGCGGGCACTGGGTTGAAGTTGTCTCATGGTGTGTCTCGGTTAATCCTCAGATGAGGGGAAAAAAGGCTCAGAGGTTAAGCAGCCCTTCCCAATACCACACATCGAGGTCTGGGGGAACCTGGTCTTGAATTGTAGGTTCATCTCGCCCCAGAGGCAACCCCCGCCCCATCTTTCCACTGCGCCCATGGCGAAGTTGGGAAGTGAGGAGAGAGCGGAAAAGGCGACTTTCGGAGAAAGAGCTGGAAGAGGGAGAGAGGGAAACGACGGAAGAAAGAAAAGATCCGAGGGAATCAGGCAGTGAAAAAGGAAAGCGATTAGGAATGGAAGGAAGAGTTTAAGAGGCAGAAAGAAGAGTAGAGAGAGGAGGCAGAGGATTAGGAAGCCGGGAGGGTGAAAAGAGACAGAAGTGCAGAGACTCAGAGAGATGGCGAACAGACACCCAGAGAGGGACAGAGACCTAGAGAAGGGGACTGGGACTCAGGGAAACCAGAGACCTGGTAGTTTGCAGGGAACAAGAGAAGGGGAAAGAAACCCAGAGGGGAGGACGGAGACCCGCAAGTGGGGTGGGAGCAGAGACGCGGGTGGGGAGGGACAGAAGCCCAGAGCGAGAGGAGGGGACAGAGCTGGGGCATGGAGGGAGGCCAGAGCAGGGGGCAGACAGAGAATAGGAGTGGAGGAAGGGAAAGATGATTGGTGGGGGAGGAGGTGGGAAGAAAAGAGAGAGGGGACTGAGGAGATGAGATACACCGGAGTAGCGACGCAAGCCCCGCCCGCGTATCCCGCACGCACACCCCGGGCGCAGGAAGGAGACGCAGACCAGAGCGCACTGCGGGATCTTTATTCGATCCGGGCGGGCGCGGCGCTCAGGGCGCATCCAGCACCAGCAGCTTGTGCATGTACGAGTTCAGCCAGTGGCGGCGCTCGAGGGCGGCCAGCAGCCGCGCGCGCTCCCGGAAGGCCGCGTCGTCCGCTAGGGCCAGGCTCCGCCGCGACAGCTGGGTGGCGGTTCCCGCCCAGGCCCGGCCGGGGGAACGGAGGCTGCGAGGAGACCAAAAGAGCCGGTTACCGCGGGTCCCGGACCCCCGCCCGCCGCCACCTGTACCTCCCGCGGTCTAATTCGAAGCCCTGTCCCTGCACTGTCTGTGAAATGGCTCGGCGTCTGTCCTCTGTCCCCCTGCCTCCCTCTGTACGGGTCTCTGTCTATTCACCGGGCTCGAAGCTCCCTGAGGAGAGACGGAGTCGATGCCTGTGTCCACCCCCAGCGCTCAGAGCCAGGCCTGATGCACACTAAGAACCCAGTAAACTTCGCTCAAGGAACGAATCGCTGCGGCTTCGGCTCCTCTCAAATCTCTCAACGCTTTTCTCAGAATCTTCTTGTACCTCTTCCTCGCGCTGATTCCCTGTCCACACCACCTCTCTCCACCCCTGGTCTCCGTCCGCCTCTCGGTCCTCCTCCTCTCCATTCTCCTCTGCTCTGTGCCCCTTTCTCCTTGGGTCTGGTCCCACCTGTCTGAATCCCCGCCCGTCTCTGGGTGTCCCGGGCGCCCCGCGTACCTGAGGACCCCGGCTGGGGGCAGGGCGACTCCTGAGGCTGTGTGGTCGCCCCAGGGCACAAGCAGCAGGAGCAGCAACAGCAGCAGCCGCACCCGGGGGCTCCTGGACACCTGGCGGGTCTCC